CTAACTGCAAGATCAGTGGTTCAAGCCCACCAGCTGCTCTTTGGAAACCCTACACACAGTTGCTATGAGTCAGAACTTACTCAGTGGCACTTAACAATAATGGCTAATGATCATGAGTATTTCTTCGTTTGCTAGCCTGTATGTCTTTTTTGGTTAATTATTTGTTCAGGTTCTCTGCCCAAGTTATTATTTATTTATTTTAAAGTTTTTATAGTGAATTGAGTGATAGTTTACATCGGAGAACATCAGCTCTACACTCATCCTATCGTATTTGTTTCACTGCAATGACTACAATCTCCTCCATGCATCGTCCTTCAGAAGCATTTGCTTCTATTCCCTTTGTTTTCTTTTTGTTTTGGATGTACACCGAAGCTCTCAGGAATATATAATCATTCAAACCACCAAAGGGCATACCTTGCAAGCCTGCCCACCCCGGCCACCAACACACAGCCCCTCTCCTTCTGTGAGTCTATAGTCCCCAGACTCCATCTCTGCATGTCATTGTCTCTGCCTCCATCTCTGGTGTCATTGCTTCTCTGGATAGGGCCCACACTCCACTCTTCTCCCTTGATGGTCCCAGGGTCTTCCACTCGTGGACTGCCAGATCAACCACTCCCCTCCTTTTGTTAAAAAACATCTACCTTTACATTTGCAACATTCACAATCAGTCCTGATAGCAATTACTCACTACTGAACCACAGTCTTATCCCCATCTCCTAGCCCCATATAGATACGCTGTAAACCACTCTGGAGATTCTACCTTCTACTGCACCCTCTGAAACTAAGCTACCTCTTGAAAATGTGTAAGCCGGTCACTTTGTGACTTTGTAGCACCCCCATTTTGGGTAGCCAATGTAAGCTGCCTATCCCTGTCAACCCTGTGTACAGAAGGGGTGGGAATGATCCTTGCTGTAAAGATTCGTTCCCTCTTTTAAGCTACTACATGCGTAAGTATAGGTCAAGCTCATCAAATTGTAGCAGATTACACTTTTTTTCCTCTTCTTTCTTCCTTTAGTTGAAACTAAGTCAGACAGGTACCATCTGCAAATATGAGTGTTTTTGTGCATTTCCCCTCACTTCATATCACTGGACTATTCACTCTCCACTCTAGTCCTCTGTGGTTATGTCCCTTTCCATGGGCTCAGCAGTCCCCAGGTCTTGCTATACTGCTGGCCAACCAGGTCTCAATCCAGGTTGATGGAGTCTACTGTACGTGGTCGGACTTAGCCCACAGCCTCATTACTGTTTTCTCCCCACTTCCCCTTTTCTGTAGACCAACGTGGTCACCAGCAAGAGTACAAGCCTACTTTTGTATTCCCTTTGAGTTTCAGTCTTGGAAGGGGGTTTACCCTGAGCGGACTTGATTGCTTGCCTTGAGGGCACCCAGGTGAACAACTTGCTTGTTCTTATAGTAGTCCATCAGAATGCTGTTATTTTTTTTTTTTTTTCCTGCTGGTCTTTCTTTTAAGAAGTATCTTTCTGTTCCTCTAGCTGCTCCAGGCTAGACTGCTTGTCTTTTCAAGTAGAAATTTCCCACCTCAGAAGATTCTGAATGGGGATCAGGATTCCATCTAAGGTCTTATACATTACAAAGGCTCTGCAGGAAGCCTCTTTCACTGTCTCTGCCCAAGTTATAACTAGATTATTTGTCTTTTTCTTGTTGAGATGTTGAAGCTTTCTATAAATTTTAGAGATTTGTCCCTTGTCTGATACGTCACTACCAAAAAACCTGCCCTGTCTGTGAGTTCTCATCTTATTATTTTGATGCACATAAGTGTCTAATTTAATTATTAGGAAGTTCCAAGCATCTATTATGTTTTCTACTGTTTGTGTCTTTTCAGTTATGCTTGATAGTGTATTTATGCCATAGATCAGAGCCCCTAAGTTTGTCCCTAGAGTTTCACTGATGATCTTTATAGTTCTAGGTTTTATATTTAGGATTTTAATCTACCTTGAGTTCATTTTAGTATTAGGTGTGAGATATGGGTCTCGTTTTACTCTTTCAAAATGGTTTTCTAGTTTTGCAAGCACCATTTGCAAAAAAAATTCTGTCTTGCTGATTTAATGTGTTTTGGCCCTTTGTCAAATACCAGCTGACTGACTGGTAAGTAGATGAATGTTTTGAGTTCTCAATTCCATTGATATATGTGTCTTTTTTTTTTTTTTTTTTTTTTTTGGGGGGGGGGTTCTGGTGTGGCGCTTTTCAGAAACTCTGTAAGGGGTTGCTTTGAATTGTAATTGACTTGATCATTCTAAGCAACAGAATAAAACTACACAGTAATCTATCTTTGGGAGCTAGTTCATGATAATGAATTTTTAGCAACACAACAACGTGCCGGTAGAAACAGAAAATATGTCTTTCAGATAAGCCATGCTCTAAGTTTGATTAGAATATCACAAATAATACGTCATCTTTTCTCCAATTTATATAATGTGGATCATTTCCTACATGACAAGAAGTATCTTTTAAGTCTCCAAGTTAAAGTCACTTTTAAAATACGTTATTTTACTTTAATTACAATGTTCTGGTCTACTATACCTTATAACATCAAGAACTCATATAGTAAAAAGGCTACCAAAGTAATATATAAATACTTACACTGAGAATAGTGTATTGAGTGGTATACTGCTTCCTTCTGCTTTCCTACTCAAAGGGACAACAAGTAAAACCAGGTTGTTATGAACTAACAGTGCTACCTAGGAATAGTTTGCTCCTCAAAATCAATGGCATTCTGTAGGTATATAGTTAAGTATTCTCATTTCTGACTATTTATCATTCGTGATCTGCTCATGATACTTCTGGATGAACAAAAGATCAAGTTCATCCTTGAAATTGTTAGAAGTCCGTCTACACACCTTTTTATCATTCTCTGATTAAGTTACTTTCCTTCAAGCATCAGTATTTAAGTACAAAAACACCATTATATATATAATATTATAGATTCAATCTTTTCAACATTATACAAGAAGGCTTCATAAAGTTCATGGAAAAATGGAATTAAAAGATAATGGAATTTTTCCATAAGCATTTTGAAATCCCCGATGATGTTCATGAAGTTGTAATTTTCAGTTATTTTACATTTATGTTTTTGTGGAGTTTGGTGGTTGAAACCGCTTCTAACATTGTTTCAATGGAGAAATACATTCCAATGACTATCTGATTGATTAATTACATGGATAAATAACAAAATATTGCTACAAAAATCACAGAAGCCTGCATTAAACAAAAATATAAAAACATGAAGCTCTTGTGTCTTCTTCCATCTAGGTCTACACACTTCTGAAGGCAGCACTTCCATCTCTCTAACCCATCCTCAAAGCACTGCGTTCTTTGATTTATACCAAGTCAAACTGGCAATTTTGGCATGCTCAAGGAATTCAAATTATGTTCCTTTGAAACGTTCTTTGAGTTTGGGGAGTAAAAGAAGTCTCGAGGCAAGATTAAAGTTGTAGTGAGGATGGGGTAAGGGTTTTCAATGAAATTCTGAGGACAATTCTAGTCATCCTTGAAGAATGAGCATAGGTAGGGTCATGATGGAAAAAATCCTTGCACTACTTACTTGGCTTTTTCTTACCAATGCAATAATCAGTTTTCTTTAAACTTCTTTATAATATAAACTCCTGCAACTGTTAGGAGTCCACTGATAAAGCCTATTAAGATGATCCCTTGGAATCCCATAAAACAGTAGTCACAACCTTCTGAGCTTCTCTGCCTTGAATTTAACTGGCCCAGCAAATCGTCTCAGAAGCTATTCTTTTGATTGACCCCCTTTTTTTGAAGGCACACTAACACAAGTGTGTTATTTGAGAGAACTTGTCTACAGCCTTCTACTGATTGCAGAGACATGTTTAAACACATTTTACGTGAAATAAATCCGTGCGTGTATGAACTATGATTTGGAACCGAATCAATGGCACTTAACCACACAATGTCTGAACTGGAACTCTGGCAGTCATACTCCTTTTTTTGATTTACCTTTGTATTTCTGAAATATCGGAAGTCCTGAAATCCTAAGACATGAGTATTCTGTAATTAAGACTACATGTGAAACTTCTTTGGGTGCATCAGAAATCAAATACAAGTTGTGGGAAATCATAAGGTAATCACTATGATGTTCTCTCTTTAGAAGACAAAGAAAGAAAGGTTCATAATTGCTTAAGTTTGTTAAAAGGTCTGGACTTGTCATGCTGAGGAAGTCTGATAATAACATTAAGTCTACAATTAAGCAATTTTCAAATATACTTAAATTGGAAATCAAAGTAAAACTGTTTCTAATAGGCTTATATAGTTCATGTTGCAAAACACAAGCCAAGACTTACCTTAATACAGCCTCCTAACACGCTGAATTTAAACACTGTCTGAAAAGGTTTTCGATCAATAGGACATGAAGCCAATGTCTGAAAAAGGATTAACAAATCATAACTTTAAAAGTTTCTTTAGAAAAGATCAAGATTTAACTAAGCCAAACATACTTGGTATGGTTAAGTTTTTCACCATACCAAGAAAAATCTGAAAAATACACACACCCCTTACAAAACAAGATAAAGTAATTGAAACATTTTTATCTTGTATTATGCCCCAGAACAATATATATTTTAAATGTTTCATTTCACTCAACCATTTAATGAGCTACATGCTAGATAATTGGAATACATGAGAAATAAGAGATAAGATCTCTTACTTAATAAGATGCCCATTTGAAAACTACTGGTATAATGAAAGGTCAACACTAGGCTGAAATCAGCAGCTCTGGGATCGAAAGCTGGGAAACTCTAATTACCTGTAAAAGGAATGGCTTGGATTTGTTCATTACAGATCTATAATATAACGTCACACACACACACCCAATTATTTTAAACAGGTAATATATACCCATGATAAAAAAAAATATTTCAAAGATATGAAAAAAAGTAAGAATTCTAGCCATCCATCCCTTCCCTCAGCCACCCAGATCTACCTGCCCCACCTCAGATCCCTCCCCAGCCTGGCAGTTTCTTCCTTTTGGACATATCCAATATACATACACAAAAATGTGTATCTTAATTTATGCTGGACTACATTTTGTCTTTCTTCTCTTAATTATGCTATGTTACATATATGTAAAGCTGTCTCATTCTTAGTAACATATGCAATAGTTTGAATTTGTATTTCCTGTTTTAGAAGAAAGACTGGGCATATTTTCCCATTTTCAGTTATTATTTAAAAAAACAACAACTGTCTATTCATGTTCTTTTTCAATAGGTTGTAGATCATTTTCAAATGCATATGTAGGTAATTATATACTAAGGATACTGGTTCTTTGAGCAGTCTGTAATTCTAAATAAACTTATTTTGATATAAATCTATTTCCTGTCAGCTCAAATAATTATCCTGAATCAAGTGTAATTTAAGAGCTTTCTGACAATGATATTAAATATTTATATGAGAATAGGAGCTCTGGTAGCGTAGTGGTTACGAATCGGGCTGCAAACCTTAAGATCAGCGGTTCGAAACTACCAGCCGCTCCACGGGAGAAAGATGAGGCTTTCTACACCCGTAAAGATTTACACCCTCGAAAACCCTGTACAGGGTCGCTATGGGTCAGAACTGACTCGACGGCACTTAACAACAAGGTTTATATTATTTAGTATCTGTGGTGGCACTGTGGCTTAAGTGATAGACTGTTAACCAAAATAAAAGGTAGGCGGTTTAAATCCATTAACTGCTCTGAGGGAGAAAAATGTGCCTGTCTACTGCCTAAAAGGCTCATTATGAGTTGGAATTGACTCAGTAGCACTGGGTAGGTTTATATAAGTTAAGATGGCGTATGTTTTTACTAGGGTAGGAAGGAAGACATTCCAGCCTATGGCTAAAATACCAAAAGTTGTTATTATCAACAACTAAGGTTACAAATGGGGACAGAGTGGCTTTATAGGATAAGCACTGGACTGTGAACCACAAGGCCAGCTGTTTGAGCCCACCAGCTGCTCCTTGGTAGAAAGATGAGGCTTTCTGCTCCCACAAAGATTTACAGCCTTGGGTTGCTGTGAGTCAGAACCGACTCAACGGCACTTAATAACAAAACACAATACAGCTAACTGCTTATTGTGCTACATGTAAGTAATGTTAGATGACCCCTTTTTCTGTGAAATAAGAGGCAAGCCTTTTTCTAAGACAAAAAGTTAGGATTTGAAAAGGAATAAAACTAAAGATTATAAAAATATCTGTCCTTACAAAAACATCCTTTAAATGAAACAGATAAATTTTATTATTATTTATTGAGAAATGTTGTGATATTTTCCTTTCTTAGTTTTAGCACATACCAAAATAATGATTATAAAAGCAGAACATACAACACAACATATGGCCCTCGAGCAAATACCACATCCACAAAACTCCTAAGTCACTTTGTTGTTGTTAAGTGCCGTCAAGTTGATTCCGACCCATAGCGACCCTGTATAGGGTTTCCAAGGAGCAGCTGGTGAGCTTGAACCACCAACCATGCAGTTCAAACGGCTTCACAGTCTGGTGCATTAACCCACAGCACCATACCAGGAGTGGCTAAAATATAAAAGAAGTTACTTTTTAACCACTCTTAAAATGTAATTTCTCCTTTCCTAAGTAAGTAGACCTTGAAAGAACAATGGTTTACCACATCTGATTAGGAAATGTGACTTTATCATATTAACTGGTTCAGATTGGTAGACGCTAGCTCAGCTTACTTCCAAGTAGTATGGATTTAATATGCTATTACTTTCTCTGCAGAGTGACCGAAAGAAGCTTTGCTGTACATAGCAACAAAACGGTCTACATCTTTTTGATAATTAATCGCAAATAGCAATTCTAGTTCAAAGAATTCAATATCATAACTATCTCTGTGATTACCGTTTATCACATTAGCATTTTATCATCATTTATCACATAAATTCCTTATGCTCCTAGATTATAAGGCGCTTTGGTGGTGTAGTGTTTACTAGGCTGCTTATCTCATGGTCAGTAGTCTGAAACTACCAGGAGTTCCGTGGGAGAAAGATGCGGCTTTCTGCTCCTGTAAAGATTCACAGCCTCAGAAACCCTATACAGGGTCACTATGTGTCGAAATAGACTTCATGGAACATAACCACCACTACTACCACGAGGTTATAGTAATACTGCATTTATTATTTAAAAGATAAAATTGTATGCAACCTAAGGGTTCTTAATGATATTTTAATGAAATTCATAAATTTGATGATATATAAAGACATTAAAGTATTTCATTTTATTTCTATATCAATTCAATATATAACAGCTACTAAGATACAAAGAAAGCCACCATGTTCAAGATATGTATCCTATATCATCAGATGCATCAAATCTTTTAAAGACTCTAGAATTATATCATCATATTAACTTCTTTATTAAATTTGCTGTTGAGATTAGATAAATGGCTATTTTTTTTTCCTTTGCAATTTTCAAAATGCCATTTAACCTGAGCCAATTCCATTTTGATCTGTTTTAAATAATGCAGTTCGAAACTACCAGCTGTTCCACAGAAGAAAGATGAGGCATTCTGCTCCCGTAAAGATTTACAGCCTCGGAAACCCTGTACAGGGTCGCTACGAGTCGGAACCGCTCTATGGCAGATAACAACAACAACAAGATTTCATTTGTTTTCATTAAGCATAATGGCCCTAGATTTGTCTAAAATTTCATTTGAAGAAAAGATTCTATTGTTATCATATATATTTATATATATATATACATCTTTGTTAAGTGTTGTAGAGTCAGTTCTGACTCATAGTGACCCCATATAGGGTTTCCAGAAGAGGCTAATGGGATTGAACTGCCAACCTTAGGTTAGCAGACCAGTGCTAATCCTACAGCACCATACCAGGACTCCCTGCCTTCATCCATCCATGTACCTCCCTATCTGATAGATAGATAAAACAGCAGTCTGAACACCACTGCTATATATTATCACTACTTACATATACTTAAAATTTCTAAAGACAATCTTGTAGCTAATACTAGAAAAATAAATTATGAGATTTTTTTGTTTCGGGTTCAGCCATCAGAAAAATTGCTAAACATAAGTCATCCTGCTTAGTTAAGGAAAACAAAGGTAAGAAGCAAGTTTCCTGTGGTAGACAAACAATCCTTGCTATGGCTGCTGCTAAGAGGTGATGCTATCCATTTCTAACCTTAGACATAACAGTTTAGCAAGCATTTCTAAGGAAGCAGAAAAGAAACTCAGTTATTCGATGTCAAGTCTACATAGTGTATTTCAATAAATTAAGGAATAAAAGAATTAAGTGAAAGAGAAATAAGAATAGATTTTTTTTTAAAAAGTGGAGCTTTAAAGAATATACTGTATAAGAAAATGTATAAAGCTACTTTAATAAATATTAAAGTTCAAAGGAACCATCATTAATAGATACAAAAGCATCAAACAAGATAAGACCAAAGAACTTTCATAGAAAAAAAAAGATGGTCTGATTTTAAGGTATTCTCAAAGACATCTCATCTTTATAACCAGTATATATCCATCCAGAAAATTTCAAAGATATTTTCATTTCAGTTTTCAAAGTAGACCCTAAAGTAACTAATTAAATCTGAGTTGTAAGATCCAAAAATTCACTTCAAATTTAAATTAATATAGAAACATTTTAACTAACATATCTATTAAAAATGTGATTTTAGTTTTGAAAATTATCTCAACTTTTGTTTTCCTTATACCTAACAAAAATACTCCAATGATTCACCATCATTTCCTTATGCATAGCAAATACAACCCATAATTATCTACCTTTCAATTCAATGATTAAAGACTTTCAATTCAATAAAATTTTAAAAATCTAATCTAGCTTAATAAAAAAAAGTCATTCAATATCATTATTCAGCTTTGTGATGCATCTCTAAATCTAATATAATTTGATCACTGCTTTACAGTGTAATGTGTATTTAAACACTGAGCATATATTTTGAGTACTCTCTGTACTAAGGTTATATCAATTAAGAGGCATTTTGATAGAAAAAAAATAATCTTCCTAAAGATTTCGGTAAAACATACCCTAGTATTCTGTTGTTGTTGTTAAGTGCCGTCTAGTCGATTCCAACCCATAGCAACCCTGTATAGGGCTTCCAAGGAGTAGCTGGTGAACTTGAACCACTGACCTTGCAGTCTGACGCATTAGCCCACAGCGCCACACTAGTAGTCTGAAGCGTTGTAAATTCCCAGCTCAGACAAACCCATATTTAAATGTAAGAACAGGAAAACTTCCTTATTTGAGAATTCAGGATTCTTGATTTCTAACATTTCTTGCTTCCTGCTGCTGCTCTATCCTCAATCACATAGGCTGCCTACAGATAGCCCCTCCTAGAGAGAGAGAAGCAAGTGTTAACTTGTTAAGTGCTTAAAGACTAAATCTTAGTACCT